TTGCTCCTAATTGGACCCCCCCCCCCCTGAAGGCTGACAGACAAGTTCTCACAGCCTCTCCTTCTCTGGGCTGTCTTTAAAGAAAATGGGTGTAAATGAAGAGTCCCTCCCTGTTCAGGTCTTACACTCCTTTTTTACTGTTCTCACGCCCTTTCCTGTGACAAAGCAATGCTCTTCTGTCCCAATACTCCTTGCCAGGGAGACAGAAGAGAGGATGCACTACTGAGTCTCAACGTAAAATAAAATATAATAGAACAGTAACCACAGAATTGCTGAAACTCACTCAAAATCAATGAAAAAATAGAAAGTAGAGTAGAAATATTACTTCATATTATTTTTGATACAGCCCAGTATTAATAAACTGGACTGTAATTAAAAATAGCGAAGTAAATATTCTTTCACAGAGCTGATTAAGTGATCTTCATTCATAGATGAAGTGCGATGCTCTGTAGACAAGTCACTGCAACGTTATTGCAGCTTCCATCGGGTCAAACGGCAGTTTATTTCTGAAAGGATATCCGAGTTAATTGCTGAGAGTTTTGTACGTCCCTACCTGTTCTGGGTTCCTTCATGGGTCGACACACGGTCCACTGATTTTGATGAGGATCGTATCTCTCAATGCTCGATAAGTGAGACACACCATTGTGTCCACCTACTACAAAAATGAAGCCCAGCATGACACCGACACCAAAGTTTATTCGCTTATCAGCCATTGAAGCGACTGTCTCCCACGAGTTTTTACTTGGGTCGTAACGCTCCATGCTGCAAATACAAACAACTTGTGAGGCTTGGATTTTAGCGACATTTGAATTTCACTTCACAAGAAATCAGCATTTGTCAGAGGTACATCTCGTTCTGCCAACCAATATTACCGCACACGGGAATAATGCAACACAACAAGAGTGCGTGAGCTGACGGAAAATTCTGCGGCATGGTTGCTTTGTACTGCCCAAGGGTAGCACACAAGAAACTAACGCCAGTGTTACCGCCTCAGAAGCATCAACCACATCCTACTGTCCTTCGACAACACAAAGCAGCTGGAGGTTCTCAACGGAGTGTTGCCAAAAAGCAGTTTTAACATATTTCATCCTGACACAGCGACTGCAGTTCAGCCGCTTTTCCGATGTCCTCATGCCACTACCCTGGATCTTCAGGTTACATATTGAAACAAAGCAAAATTTTTTCAAAGCTGGCCTCAGAACTGAAAGCTCTTTCAAGAAGAACCGAACACAATGCAGATCTGAAGTGTATCTATTTGGGTAACACATCAAAGCAAAAACTTCCTTGAGGGTTGCCTGAAAATAACAGACAGGAAAAAACGTGGAGAGCATATCCCTCAGAAAAACCAGCAAAGGGGTTGCTGATCAAAACACTAAGGATAGAAGAGGCCTTCAGGATAAAATGGAAATGAATTATCATCATCATTTTTTTTTTTCAGTCACTGGAGCTGTACAGCTGGTCAGAGTCATTAACACACTCACGGCACGTAGCCATCCCCTGTCCGAAGTGCAGCTTCAGTAGCACGAGGGGGCAGAAAAGAGGGGAAGAGAAAATCTGAAGCACTACAGAATTGGAGAAAAGGTGCTTAGTTACACAGCAGTCAGCTTTCTTTTAACTCTAGAGCTTGTATGAGTCTAGTGACTGTATGGCATGGCATATTACTTGCACCCTTGAATAAACAATAAAACCAAAATTATTCCATAAAAAGTAAACTAAATTTAAAAAGGCAAATAATGAAATATCAGATTCTAGTAACTACAGGGGTTGCTGGCAATTCCTTTCTGACTGAGGAAGAGAGATGTGGCACAAGGAGTGAGGCTACTGCAGAACTTTAATGTTGTTAAGAGCTTTCCCTTTAAAGGTACCAGCTTGATAAAGACATTTCCTCTTACTCCAGTGATAAGCCTCACATTTCCTGAAAGGAGGTTGCCGAGTTTACCTGTCAAAGGCCTGTGTGCACACTAAGCATTCAACTTTCGCAAACCACTTCTGGCAAGAGCAAGGGCTTGATTATCTTCCTTTTTTTGTGGTCTGTGCGACAAGGTTGCAGTGGAGCGAGCGTCCCAGAGGTCCCACAGTAACTCCTGGTATGCCTGATCTGCTCTGCTACTGACTTTGCTTTGCTTCATCTAATACCAAAGCCGATAGTTCTGCGTGGTACAAAGACGGTATGGAGCTAAGAGTGACCACACAGGACAACAGCGCAGCTTAATTATTCCGGGTCAAATTCCCATGTGAAAAAATCCTCGAGTCAACAGAAAACTTTTAGAGACGGCTTGCTTGTCTATTAAGTATTTCAACTGCTTGAAATTTATTATTTCTGTATATAATATATATTACATATAACTGTAATGAAATATTACAGTTCATAATTTAAAAGACAAGAAATTAGAACAATGTCACATTAAGTTTCATAAAATCCTGTCACAACCATACCAAACAGTTTAACTTATTGCTGTTTTGTATTTCAGTGATTTAAAAAACTGTTTGCATTTTCCAGATGAAAACTACTTAGCTGTACTTTCCTATTTGGAAACCAAGCCTTTGCTTCACGAACCGTTTTATATAAAAACGTATCAAGCTTCCTGGAGGGACATACAGCTGATTTGTTCCCATTTTAATGAAGAAAAGAGAGTACAAATGATTTCTTTGCATAACCAAATGCCCCTGTCCATCCATAGAGAGCGATATGGAACAGAACAATTAAAGAGCATGCTGGTACCAGGAAACCTCCTTGTGAAGGTAAGGTCTGAAGCAAGCCCACTTCTACCCAGGAGCCAGACCAGTAACCACCATCCTGAACTTTATTATCATCATCATTAAGACTACTTTAAGATTCCATCTGAGGTATATATTTATTTTGTGTATATTAAGCATGTGAAAAATCCTTTCCATTTCAAATCCGTGTTTTAAACGTTAGTTAACCACGCTTCCTAATATTTCTGCAGGCTTGAGGTACAAGGATTTACATAGCACTGGCAGAGCGTAACCCTAAGCAAGCCTCTCCCAAGAGGTCAGTAACTGAGGTGCAGCACCATGACACAGATGCAAGTACACTACCTTGGGGCCTGAGCAAACAAGCCCACACAATACTGATCTGCTGAGTTAACCAGCTTGGGTGTCTACAAGGTCAGGTGTCTTGCACCACCTTGCTTAGCAATATGCATGTATGTCTTTGTCTTTACCATTTTCCCTTCTTAAGGATTTAAAAAAAACAAAAAACAAAAACCACAACCCAAACAAACCAGCTCTGAGCTGGAACACGTAAAGATAAGTTAAAATAAGGATTTCCCAGTTGAATTATCAGACTGATACTGCAGAACAAGGAATAATGAGGTCCCCTGTGCATTACCAATCTACCTTAGAATAGTTTTTAATTGGCTGCCGAACGCAAGCTTAACAGTGAGGTTTGCTGATTTCCAGCTTACGACATCGAGCTACACACATCAAAAGCACATACCTGTTCATATGGGCAGGACCATAGCCACCAATGGCATATATCATTCCGTCCAAGACAGCTGCAGCAAAACAACTTCTTGTTTTGTTCATTGGGGCCACTAGCTGCCATTCCTTCACTTTAGGAATGTATTTCTCCACAGTTCGTAAATAAGACTGCCCGTCATAGCCACCTAAGGCGTAGAGCTCTCCTGCCAGAACTACCACTCCCAGAGTACTCCGGCTCTCAAACATCCTTTCAAGAGATGTCCAAGTGTTCGTATCGGGGTCCCAGCACTCCACTGAATTCTCATGCTTTCGGTAACTGATGCCTTGACACACGTGGGTTGCAATCCCTCCTACAACATATATTTTCTGGTCTAGGACACATATTCCAAATTCATAGCGGGGAATGCTAAGAGGTGCCAGGCCTATCCAGGAGTCATTCTGAGGAAAATACATTTCAACACTGAAATAGAGAAACAAAGATTATGTGAGCAAACCTAACTTTCTGAAGCTCTGTGAAGTGCAAATGAGCATCAAGGAACGCAGTCTTAAGATTATTTCATATGTCCCATCCAATGTTTGCTGTTTCTTCCAATAGCCCAAACGTAAGCTAAAATCAAATGCTGTTTACTGTTCTAAAGAGTTAAACACCCAGGGCCTCACAGCGTACAGTGCAATGCAGCAACACAGCAAGTAGCCACGGCACCAAGTCCGAGACCTGAAACGGTGAATTTTTAAAGCACAAACCAGGCAGACTACGGAGAAGGCAGGACAGCATCGTGGATAATGCGAGGGAAGACAATACAGCGCTGATGCCACAGCAGCTTTTGGAGGTAGGCTGTGATCAGGGTAAGCTAAAAATACAAACCAAAGGGATAAGAATGGTAAACTGAAAGAGAAGAGTCAGAACAGCCACAGAGATGGGAGAGAGAGAGAGAGGAGGATAATTAGAGGGGGAAGCACATGTCCATATATATGTACAAACATACAATTAGAAAGTACAGTTTGTAGTTTTATAAATACGTATTTTACATGCACTGTATAATTTAAACAAAATGACAAAGTAGAACAAACTAATATGAAAAATCTGTTTTCAAAATACCGCTTATTTGCATTTTCTTTTAATTATACTCAGTGTTAAAATATGGTGGGTCTAGCCTATCACGTATAAAGTCTAGTCAATCTACCTAAACAATTTAGTTAATAAATTACTTAAATGATTTAAAAGAATATCTAGTACACAGGAAATACGATCTGTTCAAAAAACATACAAGAAAATGAAGCCACTGGAGAGCTGATAGCCACTGACTAAGAACCCAGAAGCAGGGACTGCTGAAACACCAGACTGGCTCTTGACAGCAGCAGCCCAGTTAGAAAAGAGCAGTGCTAAATATATTCTAAGTAATCTTGTTATTATGAAGCAGCAGCTAACTGTAAGTGAAAGACCAGCCTTCCTGTAAGTACAAATAAAAAGTAGAACGAGAATAGTGGAATTAAGGTTTCCTACTTCAGAATTTTAATTGTATTAGGAATTATTTTGTTTAATCGATCTGTGACTTTTTTTCTTTTATGTCAAGAGCAATTGTTTAAACTTAAGTATTAACTGAAAAAAACGGTTTAGGAAAGACTAATATGAAGAATAAATTAAGGAAGAGAAAATTTTTATATGCATTAAAACATGGTCAATAGTAGTAAAGAGCATTTTTGTCAAAAAAAAAAAAATCAAAACAATCCAAACTACATTTGAATGTAATATTGTTACAATCATTGAAGAAGCTGTGAAAGAAACAGAGCTGAAGAATATCGGAGGACGACTTTATTCATTCAAACAGATTTTTTATTAAGCACAAAACCCCCTTTATTTTTTAAATCTATAAACCCAACAATTCCCAGTCTCAACATCTAGTTTACTATTGATCCCTATTACCAGGAAAGTCAACTTTAAATAACTTTGACAACATCTCTAAACACAGGGAAAAAGAACATACAGATCCTGAAGAATATCGGAGGACGACTTTATTCATTCAAACAGATTTTTTATTAAGCACAAAACCCCCTTTATTTTTTAAATCTATAAACCCAACAATTCCCAGTCTCAACATCTAGTTTACTATTGATCCCTATTACCAGGAAAGTCAACTTTAAATAACTTTGACAACATCTCTAAACACAGGGAAAAAGAACATACAGATCTTCCCATGTTTGTGTGTGTGTGTGTATATATATATACACACACACACGCAGGCACGGAACTGTCACAGAAGAATGTCTCGTATGGTTGGGATTACTTACAACATTGTATTAACATTTCCAGAAATAGTAGCCGCATACACATGCGTACTTACACATACACGTATAGCGCTTTGATGTTGAATGTGCCCTTATCAGCTCAGTAAATGTTTGCTGTGTTAAGGCAGACTACCCGAACTGGTTCTACAGCTGAATTCTGGGATAAGATTTTACTCTGAGACATTCTTTTCTGTGACAGTTCCGTGCCTGCATGTGTGTGTGTGTGTGTGTATATATATATACACACACACACGCAGGCACGGAACTGTCACAGAAAAGAATGTCTCAGAGTAAAATCTTATCCCAGAATTCAGCTGTAGAACCAGTTCGGGTAGTCTGCCTTAACACAGCAAACATTTACTGAGCTGATAAGGGCACATTCAACATCAAAGCGCTATACGTGTATGTGTAAGTACGCATGTGTATGCGGCTACTATTTCTGGAAATGTTAATACAATGTTGTAAGTAATCCCAACCATACCAGCGTGGGGAAGAAAGCTATTTTTCTCTCTATTACGTTCCTTTTGCTCGCATGATTAGCCTCAGCGATGTACTCCAGTAGCTGATGAGGAGGTTCATTTTGAAAACCCGGTAAAGAAAGACGGTCACTTACCTGTCTCTGCCCACTCAGATATGGATACCTACTCAGCGGCAGAGATTAAAGTCATGATTACATTATGATCAAGAACGTGACATCGCTAAGAATTACCTCTTCGCTCTTCTCTGATTAAGTCTATTTTAATTCCAAGGACTTTTGAGTTATCAGGAAGCATATTTGTCTTATATTAGGTTAAATTTTACGATTTGATTGTCTGGAATAATAACAGATCAGGGAAAAATTACATAAAATGAAAAGACCTGAAAGGACAAAGTAGCAGCATACAAACTTTCATTAACCACTTTTATTAACCAAATTCTCAACCAACAGAATAGAAACGATAAGGTTTTATAGCTATTTGTGTTGGCACAAACAAAACCCCGTAACACTGAAGATTACTCATGAAATCAAAAAGCATTTTGAATTCAGTGCTCCTCCTTGTTCAGAAAAATCTACTTAAAGAGTTCTTATGGAGGACAGCAGTAACTACAGTCTTGCAAACCACAGCTCTTCAATTATTGTCTTAATCCTCACCCAGGGCAATAACAAACACGCATGAACATCACACCACTCAAGTGCTGCAACAACTTCACTATTGCTTACCTTTCCAAACACGCAAACAGTCCAGCTTTTCCTCCTACAGCACAAAGAACTTTAGGAGCACAGCGAGGTCGTGTCATCAACATGGTCTGGTGGGAAAGTCTGTGTTCAGGCATAAAGTGGTATTTTAGGGCCTCATTTAGCAGATGTTTGCAAGTATGGTCATCACGAATGAGATGGTTTGCTTCGTATAACCTCGTAAGAAACTTAACGCTCAGCAGCGGCAACCGAACGCAATGTAGCAGCTGTGCTAAGTACTTCTGTCGCTCCTGCACATCATATTTGATCCAGGACTCTAGTGCATAAAAAACGGTTTCTTCTGTCACAACATTCAAGCAGTCGTTGGAAACAATTTCATCCAATTCAGAATGCGTAAGCTCAAAAAATTCTTCCGTCTGACAAACATCTTCAAAGTTTTGACAAATGTACTTGTTAGCAGCCAAGTAGAGGTCATGGCAGCCATAGGTCTCTGCAAAACGAGAAATCCCGATGCAATTGCCAGGATCAAGCTGGCTTTCAAGAAACGCACAACACTCCTTCACTACCAGTTTGACCTGGAGAAGATTCGCAGCTGGAAGAAGCGACTCTACAGTGTCTTGTGAGATAAACACAGTTCCTGTGTAGGCATACTCCACGATGGTCTGCAGGGCTGCCTCGTCAATGCACTGGAACTCCACCTCTGAGTTTTCCTTCTCAGAAAGGTTCCCGGTGAACATGGCTTTGAAGTACGGACTGATGCTGGCAAGCACCACTTTGTGGGCGTGGATCTTGACATCCCCAACTCTAAGGATAATATCACAGAGCTCGTGATGCTGGCGAAGGAGGTTCAAGCCTTGCAGGAGCTGTTCAGAATGCAAGTGGGTTAAGTTGGCAAGCATGTAGGTTGGAGACGACTGGTCCATCTGTGACAAACAGAATTTTTAACGCATTACTCAGGGCTTCATTTCAACAGCTTCATTACTCATGTTACTCAAACATGCAATACATAACATTTAAAAAATATTTTTCCATTTTTGCTTTTATCTTAATTAGGTTTATTACTTTCCAATTTACTCTCTCAATCCTTATGCACTATGCTTTTTCATGCAAGTTAAATCCAGGACAATCAAATGTTTATTAATAGCGTATGCTATATTGATCTTTGACTTCAAAAAAAACCCCACCAAACAAACCACAAAACAAAAAACAACCACCCACCCTTTTTATTTTTGTTCTGGAGTAAAATGCATGTTATCTGAAGCATTGAATACATGATAGGATTCTACATCAGATATCCGAGAGAACGGAACAGTGACCGAAACAAAAACAGAGATAAATAAAGAACCGGCTTATTTGAGACAAAGTTTTAAAAGTTCTTAAACTACTTTCTGCTACTCGCCTTGCAGCCTACTCAGCGCTAGTGTGGTGCAGCCAAGCCCCGCTGTGCTTCCCCTCCAACCCGTGCTGCCGGCAGGGGCCACTAGCCACAGCTGGCAGTTCCAGTTCCCCCTCCCTCGCCCAGAACAGAAGAGTCCCTCCCTCTGCACAAAGAGGCAAAAAGGACCCACAGAGCCAGCGGGGCCCTGGGTTGCAGGAAAAGGGGTGCCGGAGCAGAGGTTACTGTACTCTGAACGGGCAGAGGAGCACAGGAGAAGGGGGAGATCCTCACCTCACTGAGCGGCTTCCACCGTGAGAGAAAATCCCCAGTGGACATGCCCTTGCCCTCCGGAGGGATCAGACCCGGCGGAGACTGGGAGCTGGGCCTGCCTCCACCATCAAGAGGCGAGGGGCAAGAGCTGGTAAAGCGCTTCCCAGGGTGAGCAAGGGAGCGGGTCCCAGGTGGACAGGCTGAGCATCCTGGTGTCTATCACCATTTCCACATCCTCACGGCACCAGCAGCAGCTACCCACGCTCCCTAACATCACTAGTAAGGGCAGAGAGAAGGATCCTCGTTCCTACCTACGGCTCCACAAAACCCCCAAACACTTCTTCCAAACAGTTTTAGTGCCTTCAAGTGTCACGATGCAAACTATGATACCTGCTCTAATTTCAGTATCGTTAAAATTTAAATGGTGCTGCCCACCACTACCTGGTGGAGAAGCAGTTCTGCAGTTCTTTATTCAGACTGAATTATTATACCGGTGAGAGGGTGGAGGGTAGGAATGTGTCAGGATCCTGGACCACGAGGAAATATAACCGTTGTTCTACAGAGAACACTGCAACCACCCAATTTCTGAACTGACAAGCTGATCTAATTCTGATCTGCTAAATGACTACACAAACTTCAAGATCTCACTTCTTTTATCTTACTATTAAGAAGTTCATCATTTTTACAGCTCCTTAACTGACATCTAATTTGCAGTGAGCCTACTTACAAAGTGCTTAATCTGAAAGAATAAAATTAGTTGCCAACGTTTAAATACAGAACATAATAGCACTGACAGAGAAGCGACGGCTTACAGCTAAGGACAGAAAACCTCTTACCTATTAAAAGGTAAGTAAGCTCATCCCTCTCCTATTACAACCTGACACTGGAAAAAAATCCATATCTAAAAGAAAGTATTTTAAGCATATCTGCAAAAGGCAAGATTCCAATCAACAACGTTTTCCATACAATGACATTTTTGCACCACAAGTGATGGGGGGGGGGGGAGAAAAAAGAGCTGTTCAGCAGCTAAGCCACTTTCTTTTCCTTTTGTGTTTGTGCTCTGTTCATAACTTGATTGTACATATACGCAGAAATCATAAAACACAAGGTAACACCACATGGAAGGAAAAAGGAACGGTTACAGATCAGATGCAAAACCTGTAAAAACATTTATAAATAACTACATTTAAGTTATTCTACAGAAATAAAACTTTTTGTACTAACTTGGTAGAGATGCCTACTGTTGTATCTCACACACCTCCTGCACGGCAATGCTCGCCCACACCACATATTTGCATGTATTTATTTTATCCCTAAGCAAGAAATCAGAAGCTGGAACATTAACCAGCCCTGAAAAACGTATGCTAGTCCAACGATTTGTGCTCACAACACGAATAAAACGATTGCCCCCCGGCTCTGGACCATCAGATCCTTTTCACAGTCTGCAGGTGAAACTTATCTTGAAGAGCAGGGAAAGAGTTATCCGAAATAAAGAGGTTAACCAGAAACGTAAATACCTAAGCTCGCTTACTGAAGAACTACTCTTCTAAAATCCACAGTATACGACGGTGCCCGGTAAGTGATGCAGAACACGGCGTTTTCTTTATGTGAAAACAGCAGGAAGAGCTCCAGGCACTTTTCTCTTTCAAGGCAGTGAAAGAGAAGAACCGGTAAGTGCTCGCCGGTTCCTTATTTAGGCCACAAAACATTTGGGGCCGGTGAGCGACTTGTCCGGCTTCGTTACTCACCGGAGAGGCCCCCCCAACCCCCCCCCCCCCGCCAGCCGAGCCAACGCCGGTTCTAACCACCCGGCGCGCCACAAAGAACACCTTCTGCCTGCCACAGAAAGCGCAAGAAATCATTCGCGAGCGTAAACCGCCTCGCTTACGGCACCTCATGCCCTCCGCGCCGCTGCGCTTACCCCCCCCCGCCCGTTCT